CACTTTACGCTAATCTTCCCTGCTTGAACAGACAAAATAAAATATTAGCATGTAATGCTAACCTTCTCTGTGAACAGAGAATGAACAAAAAAATTTTTAAAAAAAGAATAACTAGCACATTATGCTAATCTTCCCTGCCTGAAACAGAGGATCAACTTTCATCTCTAAAAGAAAATTTTAGAGGGTAACCTTTTAACAAAACTCTACAGCAGTCTAATAACTCTTCTCTGGCGGTCTTCAGTGGCTCTTTCAATGGAGTGAAACTTACCAAATCGTTAGTTGTATGGAAAGATTCCATCTGGAACTCAGAAAAAGTTATTTTGTTGAGCTTGGAGTTTCAAGATTCAGTCTGCAACTCAGAAAGTTAATTCTTTGTTGAGATCTTTTGTTGCTTGAATTTTGATTCAGGTTTCAGTTCCATCTGGGTCACAGTGCCATCTGTTGGAAACTATTTACTTCTAACATGTAGAAAAGTCAGAAGCTTAGACAAGGAGACATTGAGGTATCTTTTAAGAAGTAGTTCTTTATTGCGTCACTGTAACATCTCAATCTCATCTGACTAATGGAACTTTTACATTGCAATGTATACATTTAGGGGGAGGGATTTACACAGAGGTGGAGCAAACTCGTATACAGGTTTAGGAAACCTGTATTGAAAACTGAGAGTAATAACTTATTCAAACATTGAGACTCAAGAACAGGAATGCCAGGACTCTCTCTTGCTGAGACAAAAGCTCACAAGAGTCCCCAAGTGTTTCAGTAATCTGTTTAATTTAATTTACAATAGGGGATTATCACGCTCTCGGGTTTCTGAGATTTTCAGTGCAGCTTCAAATGGCTTTAAATGACACCAGACGATGAATAAGGGTCTTATCTAGGGAAACGATTGTAAGCCGCACTCTCCTCTGTCCCCTGAACGACCGGTTGACTTCCTGAGTCTATGAAACCACTCCCTCAGAAACAGGCAGTGCGCTGAGATTGGTTAGTTTGGGCTGGTGTGTGGTGATTGGCTAAACTGTCGCTCACGTTGTCCGGAAGATTAACGCCCATTACCTTTATGGGCGAAATGTGCCTGCGCTCCGGTCCAGATGTAAATAATGGTGTCAAACTGCAGTATCAGTTTGAGGCAGAATCAGACCGAGAAAGCGGCGATGAAGAGAGGCAAGCAGAACCACACCACACACGGCCCTTACTAAACATTTCTGAATGATACTTTGCTACATTTTTTAACTTTATACACATTTGTTTGACACAATAGCATCTGACTGGCAACAATAGCAACTGACTGGCTACTAATGTTATACTCAAACAGCGTTGGCATTAGTTTACGTTCTTGATCAAATCGGAAATAACGTCATAAAGCATATATACATGAAAAATACATTTAAAACATTAGTACTTATACAAAATTCAGGTCCATAATGTTTGTACGCGTTTGCCGTAGACACAAAATAGCATAACTAGTAGTGGCTAAAGCCAGCGCTGGCATTTGAAAAAAAAAAAAAAAAACACAAGGCACGTCTGGAATTATACATGCAAATACATTTAAAATGATTAAGTCTTAGCCTAGTTACTGGTTGTGGCCCAACAACTGCTGCCTCTGGGTTTAAAGTCCCTGTAAAGTCAAAATTAAGTATGTGTTCTGAGTTTGTCACACCACAGAAAAATGTGTTATTAGCCACCCAGCCAAATTTGAATGATAAAAAAAGCCGGCAAGTACATAAAATAAACTATCAAAATCGTGAAAATATGAGCAGTATTCTCTGCTCTCAAACGCTGGGGGCGTGTCCGCTGGCTGCGTGGAAACCACGCCCACTCACGGGAAAGCTGTCGACGGTGATATTAGCTGATTAGCTTTTGCAGACGGGAGGATGAACGCAGAGGCGGAGATAGATCTATTGTTAGGGGAGAGATGAGATCAGCAAAATGCGTCATCAAATAGGGGCTTGTCCAGGAGCTCATGGGCTCCAGTGCGTCATTGAGCCCTGTTTTAGCCTCGCCCAAAAAATCCGTAAAATTGCAATGGTGAAAAACTGTTTAAAGGTCTAACTCCACATTTCAGCACTTCACAGTTCACAGTCTTTGTAATGTGTTTTAGCAATACATATGTAACATTTATAATGCGTTTAGAACTTTTTTGTAGAATTGCCTTTACAGGGACTTTAAAGTTGGAACTATTCATATTGGGGTATCCAAGTTATTTCACATATTTAAACTTCTTTTTAAGTAACGCAATAGTCACTTTCACTGGTAATTAGTTACTTTTGTAATGATGTAACTCAGTTACTAACTCAGTTACTTTTTGTGAGAAGTAACTAGTAACTCTAACTATTTTTTAAAAAAAAGGAACTTACCCAACACTGTACCTGATAGGCCAGGGAAATAGCCTGAACTATCTCGTTGCTGATGGTCTGTTTGGAAGCGGGGAGCCCCATCTTGGATGACCCGAAACACACCAGCAACTGGTCTGTCTTCCTCCATTGAGAAGACCTCTGAACATAAATATTGAGAGCTCTGACAGGGCAGAGCAGATGAAGTCTCTCGTCTTCCCTGTTATAAGGTGGAGGATGAAATGCCTGCAGAACTGTTGGCCGTGCAGTGTTAGAAGGCACCTTAGTCACAAACTCCAGACACTCAGAGAGGCCCTGAAGATCTCCTACTCTTTTAAGAGAAGTGAAGAGAACAGCTTGTTTTCACAGTTTACACAGCTCTGGATGAGGGTAGAATATTGAACCCTCGGCCTGAGAAAGCAGGTCCCTCCTGATGGGAATCTCCCATGGAAGGCCTTCCAGAAGTAAAACGTAAAACGAGCAAAATGTCTGAGAACCATGCTCGGGCCGACCACAACGGGACTGGAGTTGGCTGACCCTCTCCAGAACTCCTGGGAGCAGAACAATGGGGGGAAATTCAGGGACCCGGATACGTTAGAGAAAACTACAGTGGACAGTGTGTCGTCTCTTGAGACGCAAACAGATCCACTTCCACTGGGCCAAACCTCTCGCATATCGAATCCACCACCTTGGGGTGGACTCTCTATTCCCTGGGCCTCAGCCCCTGCCTCGACAGGATGTCTGCCTCCCAATACTGGTCCCATACAGGGATGTATGTTGCTCTGAGAGACAATAGTCTCCACTGGGACCACAGGAGGATCTGATGCGCAAGTCTAGAGGACTGATGCGCGTAGAGGGCGCAATCTTAGGCCCCCCTAATGATATAAATAGGACATGCTGTCTTTTCTCACAAGAACGTGGTGACTCTTGAGGTGTGGGAGGAAGCTCCTCAGAGCCCGGAAGACTGCAAATATTTCTAGGCAATTTATAACAAGAGTAATGATGGTCCTGCCACAGACCTCTCGTAAAGTGGCAGTCCATGACCGCACCCCAGCCCGTGAGGTATGCGTCTGTCGAAATGGCTTTCTGGCAACATGGCGCTCCCAGCACTGGACCTTGGAACAGGGTTCTTCCACATAGATAGGGAATGAAGGCATCTGATTGTAACCCTGATCATTCGGAATGGGTTCCTCCTCTGGGAAAACCCCTTGGTTTTTAACCACCACTGCAGGGCTCTCACTTGCAGCAGGCCAAAGGGTATCATGTTGGACGCAGCTGCTATGAGCCCTAACAACCTCTGAAAGTGTTTCACAGTGATAGCCTGGCCTAGCTTTATCCTGGTCACCATGGCCAGGATGGACTTGTTACGTGTGTGAGACAATTGAGCCGGCCGGGGCCAATTGCTGGAAAACTGTTGTGGGACAGAGGTAAGTTGCCTGTATATACACCCCCTGAGCAAATTGAGTTGATTATCAAACGTAATTGTCCTGAACTTTGTTAATAACACATTATTTGAGGAGATTTGATTAATTCTGATTAACTGATTAATTCAGGTGTGCCTGACCTCAGTAGTCACAACAACAATAATCAGACACACCAGGATGAATCAGTTTGTCCAATAATGGAAGACAGGGAACAAGGGAGCTGGCTGAAGTTCAGGAAGTAGTGCAGATGTGCATAAAGCCTATAGATAGGTGAAACAATGTATGGCATTAAAATGCCACAAGAGCAGTTTGAAAGCAGTCAGCTGGCTCAGTCAGTGCAGTTTCTCCAGAGCAGCTGCACAAGCCTTGATAACAACACAGCTGTTTCATAATTGGCTGTGTTCACCGATGACAATGATCGTGTTTGTTTCCTATTTACTCTGACACCTTCAGTTGCTAATGTTTACAAATACTTGTTTTATAACAGTAAAAATTCCTTTTTTTCATTGAATTGTAATGTTATATTGTGTCATTTTTTATCAAAATAACCTTTATGGTTAGCCCAAAGACGCTTATAAGTAAACATGGTGTGTGTGATTTTAGACAAGGGAGAAAAGTGTGAATGGTGAGGGAGAGCTTGTGACTGATAAGTTTTGTTTTTATTGTTAATACCACACTAAATAAGTTTGTCTTCCTATAAATATTATAATACATATTATCTTAAAAGTGTTCTGGGTTGGGGTGAAATTTTGAGCTCAGAGCTCTCTCCTCGAAATAAGCACGCCACATAAGCATATTTTATACTATATCTGATTATCTGAATTGACAGCAATTTATTTAATTATGTTTTTCATAATTTCATAAAAGTTATTCAGTCAAATGTCACCTTATTCACCTTTTTATCAAGCATTGTTTGACATTAGTAACATATACGTTTCCAACACCCAGCCTTCATGCAGTTCAAAATAATTGCCACCAGGTGGCACTATAACCATATTTTCAGAACCACATATCATTTATGGTTTATAAAAGATTGTGTCCCGCGAAAACCTTTCTGCGCAACAGCAACGAGTGCGCGTTAAACAAACGCGCGCGCACACACACACACAGAGAGAGAGAGAGAGAGAGAGAGAGAGAGAGAGAGAGAGAGAGAGAGAGAGAGAGAGAGAGAGAGAGAGAGAGAGAGAGAGAGAGAGAGAGATTTGAAATGGTTCATTAATACATAATTAAATTGAATTTACAGAAATAAAACCTACTGTTTATTTCCACTGCATTCCTTCCCTCACCCCATGCGTATCTGAATATCTGTGTGCACTTGAGTGTAGTTTCTATGAAAGCTTGTTACACTTTAGTGAGGTGCGTGTGCAGCGGCAGCGACAGATGGTGGGCTCCACATCCCTCGGGAAGGCAATCTCTACGAATGCGAGCGCGTGTCAATCACCCGCTCTCATGTGATGGCTCCTGCCAGTGACGTGCCCACCATATGGCCTGGCATCAGAGCAGGTATGTAACCCTTCCTGCTAGGGATGCCACACCGCCTCGCTGCAGTCCGGAAAAGGATAACGCATACCGGATCACAGACAATCGCGCCTGTCTTTTTCTTAGTCTCCGAAAGCATGAAGATGATGTAGACGTACGCGCCTTCACCCGTTGAGCACCATAAACTAGGTGAGTTTTTCAGACGTGATAGAATACATAATCAAAACAAATAATAATTTAATATGAATATTTTTAAGAAATCATGCCATCTACTGATGCTGGTGGAATTATTTGTATTCATTCGTCTATTTAGAATTTTTTTTAATCATCTGTGATACCTTTTCTCAGAGAATGGTACGTTTTAATTAGGGCATCCGTGGAATATATGTGAGCCATAAATCTGATTTGACTACAGAAGCAGGTGTTATCGATAACGGCTACACAGGTTACACTAATCCAGGTTATATAGATAGGCTATATTTAATTACATTACGACAAATGCTTAGATAGTGTTGTTTCTCATAGGCCTAGTATGTTGTGCAAATTGTTTGTTACGTTTTCAGTGACTTTTATGGAGATATTACTAATAATGCAGGCTTTCTTGTGGGTTGTCAGTAAGTAGAGTTAACGTCAGTATTTTTAACAATCAGCAGTTAATAGCTACGAATAATGTGACATAATAATTTGCATAGTAGCTAGTATAGGCCTATTGCCAACCAATTATTTAAAAACAAAAGCTTGTTCATCAGAAGGCGTTTTCACAACAAAGACACTTGACTCTGTCAACTTTTTCTTTTTGACAGTTAAATTGAGTGACTTTTTTTAAATTGCAATAAAAAAAATATGCTTTTAGGCCTATATGTTCGTAAGTTAAATTAAATTAGCTAACTATCTTGGAAAGTTTTTTTTTTTTTCTTTATCAACTATGGTTTTATAACAGATGGTAATGGAAAATAGGGGACAGGAGGGAGACCGACGGCAGTGTTAGAACCTATAGCCTACATGGGACCCCGCCCTCATCTAAATGAGCCAGGAATTGACTATTGTGGTCATAAATGAGATCGTATTACAATTGAATCTTAAACTGACTCTTTCGATAATTTTCCCTTTTTTATTATTCGCCATTTTTAATGGTTTTCGATGAGTTTTTTTTTTTTTTTGGTTCATTTCATGTTTTTTGATGTGCTGGAATGCCGCCAGAAGATGGAAAGGAAAGGGCGAAGGGGGTGCTCGCTGCTCAAATCGGGTACCCCGAGACCCCCACCCCACCTCGTGTGAGGACCTGCTGCGAGGGGCCAAACAGGACTACATAAATTGGGAATTGGGGAGTGAGACCGTCTGGCGACGGATGTCGCTCTGGTTGAATTAAAATACCTCTTTAGAAGTCGTCTCCCACAGATATATGACGCTTGGTTTTTATAGCTTTCACATAGCCGACTATGGGCCTGTTACCCATTTAAATTACATTTTCATTTTTAAAATCGTTCGTTTAATCAAAATGGTATAGCTAACAGAAACTATACAACCCCTATTTACTTCAGTGACAGCAGAGTGCATTAACATTTCCAATGTATGGGGTGCGGTTGTTATTAATATTTCAAACAACATTTGTGTTGTAGCCAAGCCTACACAATTTCCACGTCACGATTTAATTATTAAAACATTTGTTTACATTTTGTTTATGTTTCAGTGGCTCCGCCATGTTGACAAGATTATTCAACGAACCTTCACTGCTTCCGGACATGGAGAAGTTCGGCGGCTGGGTGGATGACAGCGGGAGCGAGTGCTCCAAAACCAAGGACGAAGAGCAGGAGCGCTGTCGCCTAGGCGACGAGGACTTGGACGATTTGAAAGGCGGGAGCAGCCGGGATCAGTCGGAAATTGCAGGGGAGGAGGACGATGATGAGGATGTTGATGAAGATGATTGTGGAGATGAGGGGGACGGAGACAGACCTAAAAAACGTGGGCCAAAAAAACGCAAAATGACGCCGGCTAGGTTAGAGCGCTCGAAAGTAAGGCGCCAAAAAGCGAACGCAAGAGAACGCACGCGCATGCACGATCTAAATTCAGCACTTGACAATCTACGCAAGGTAGTACCTTGCTATTCAAAAACTCAAAAACTCTCTAAAATTGAAACATTACGGTTGGCGAAAAACTACATTTGGGCGCTGTCAGAAATCCTGCGCAATGGGAAGAGACCGGACGTGGTATCGTATGTACAGACACTGTGCAAAGGCCTCTCCCAACCCACGACCAATCTGGTGGCTGGGTGCCTCCAACTTAACTCAAGGAATTTTCTAACGGAACAATGTCAAGAGGGAGCGCGCTTTCACTTGCCCACCCCTTCATTCTCCATGCACGCATATCCATATCAATGCTCTCGTCTATCAAGTACACATTGTCAGTCCGGGTCCAATGCACATAGCCTCCGAAATCACTCTTTCTGTTCGGCCTATGAGGCACTGTACACCGAAGGCACGTCCCCAGAATATAACAGTCCAGATTACGAGGGCCACCACAGCCCTCCGGTGTGTGTGAATGGTAACTTTGCACTGAGACAACAGGAGCCACTCTCGCCAGAGGCGGAAAGAGGTTATCAATATTCTATGCATTACACCAGTCTGCATGGCTCACGTTCTTCCACTGCTCATGGTCTTGCTTACGCCCCATCAGGTGCTCGCAGTGGCAGCGCGCACTCAGAGAACCTTCCACCGTTTCATGATGTACACGTGCACCACGATCGGGCGCCTGCATACGAAGAACTGAACGCCTTTTTCCACAATTAGGGGATTTTCCCTGCTAATGCCCATTTGGGAGGAGAGGGAGGGGACCGAGGAAAAGTGAAATACAATTCCACATTCAAAACATTAACTAATTTAAGTTTCGCTACTGTTCTCTTGAACCAGTTTTTTTTTTGTTTTTGTTTTTTACATTACTGGACAGTAATTTTGTTTTTACAGTTTACATAATGACAAAATGTATATAAAAGAGGTCAGGACATGAATCCAAATGCTAAAACACATTTTACCAAGTTGTAGTTCTATTTATGATTGATTAAAATGTTTGAACCGTAACGAGTCTCTAATGTAATGACAAGAAGAAGAAATGATAAATGAACTAAATTGTTAAATTAAGTCTGTTTCTTGATCAAACAAATAAAGCATATTGTTCCAGTATTATCTGGGGCTGTCATTTCCCATTGGGAATTGGTCAGACAGAAATTGTAAGAATTTAAGAATAAACAAACATGTGAGTACACCAGTTGCTATGGAAGAGTACAAATTCAGTGATAAGAAAAATGAAAACGAAAAAAAAAATATCTCATTCGTTATTTTAATGGAATTTTAAGGTTTACAACATTATGTCTAATATATTTCAGTACACAGGTGCAATTTCACATTTATCACATCCAAATTAAAATTCTGATGGTAGTCCAATCTGTTTGATTTTACAATAGTGCTATATAAAATTGCAAAGCTGTTGGAAGACTAATTACATTAGAACATAGCATTATTTGTGGATAATAAAAATCAGATTGTGAACATTTGGGTAACTAAATTAACTTGATTTGTCGTATTTTGGTTATAGTTAGCATATTTTGTATAATAGTACACAATAGTGTGTGTGTGGGTGTGTGAATAAGGTAACTTTCCTGGCATGTTATACATTTCAAATATTGATGACGTGGAAGAGCAAAACAATTGCGCTAAACTAGTGGAAAAAGTCATGAGGTTATTGAGGTTTAAATAATCATATATTTATTTACAAATAATAATAATAATTTACAATTATTAGAATGTGTTTTGCAATCTCAGTGTGAGCATTGTAAACATTTCACATAAACTAAAATATCTATAAAGATTTGCTTATTCAAAAGCGTTAACATTCCTCGATGGCTTAAATAGCCTATATCGACATATGTCCATTTGGTTTGCATTCTAGTTAAATGAGTTATGTCCTGTTTCACTTCAATTTCAGTCTGTGAAGCATTTTATTGTTATTAACCTATGCAGTATTATTTTCCTAGTCCGACAAAAATATTAATACGATTTTTAGCAAGATGGCACTTTATAAATAAATTAACTAATACGCAACAGCATTTTACTTTGTCATTATTATTACATTAGCTTACTTCTCCCATGTTTAGAATTTAGATAGCATGAACATTAATTTCATTATCATTTTGATTTAAAACACGACAATTGTTATTATTATAATTGTTATTATTATTATTATTAGGATATGCCAACTATTCAGTCGAAATTACGTTACATTTTTAGCAATCATAAATATACAATTAAAGCGACGTAATGTGCACAAATAAATAGTTTGTGATAGTGACGCATGCAACAAATGTTTTATTCATTTAAGCTCCGTGTCGTTGTTATTGTTACCTTATGACTACTTTCATGTTGTAGCATGCTTACTGCATTGTGTCTAACTTCTTAAAATATTATTCATTAATTAAAAATATATCGGAATAGCTATGTATAATTACAGGTATGTACACTATATTAAATTGCTTTTAAACGTTGGCCTTTTTCTTTTAGTTTGTAAGTTGTTGCCATCAATTAACACATTTAGATGGACAGTTCTTTGCTATGGAATGCCTGGTGAACACTTTTCATTTCCCAGGCAGTCTTTTAGTACTACATTTGCAATATGCCTACACTTTTAGAATGACAGTTGGTGGCTTTTACTTTTGCTTAAAACGGTTAACTTTTGTTTTATTTAGATCCAGTTCCTAGTCGTGTGTGCTCCAGTTGGCTAAATGTGTTACATTGTTACAAGTCTATTAGCTAATTTATTGTTACATTGTTACAAGTCTATTAGTTCCAAGTGTCATCCATTAGCAGAGGAAAATGAAGCTTTTCTAAGGTTCCTTAAAAACCCAGAACAACGTTTCTAAACAACTGTGAAATAAAATGTACACACACGCCTATTCAATTAGATTATCTAGATTATATTAGATTTTTCTATGCTTCAATTTTCTTGTATTTTAGGCGCAAGTCAGGTAATGTTCATTCAAGAAACCTGTGAGTTCAAAGTGATTGTTTTTCTTGTGATTCTGGCATTGATGTGTCGAGCCCAGAGGGTAAAAGCCAACAAGGACAAAAGGCGCTCCCTCCTTAAACTCGACCACAGCCGAGGTGATCTTAAGCGGCGTCCAGAGGCCACGGGCTGGCACGGAACCCAGAGACTCAGGAGACACGCGCTTGCCAATTCGCTAAATGTCTTAGCGTCAGTGCGCACGGCCAGCGGGGCAGCCCACCACAGCGATGCCAGCTGCGCCGTGTGCCAAGCCTGGCCAAAGCTGCGCTGCTGGGTGGAGGCGGTGTTTCTTTCCTAATTCAGCAGCATCTGTTCATTATTTCATATTTTATAGGGAAGAAGGGTTCAACTATATGCTAGCAACTGGAAACAGCACGGCCTACCACCGGGGCTGCACAGCGTAACAGTTGGAACAGACATGCAGGACTGTACATTAACTCATTTGAAAGAAGAAAAAAATAGACCTGTAATAGCGTAACGCGGGTAAACAGAATTTGGCAAAAAAAAAAAAAAATAAATAAATATATATATATATATATATATATACACACACACACGGCAATTGAAACATAGTCACAAAATAAATATTGATATAATATCTAAACAACTTCACGGCGAAAACGGAAAAATGTTTAACGCGTAGCCTATTAAATGTAGTTAATGTAATGAGATGACAGAGATAACATTACTTTACAGGCATCTAAATTTACTTTTAACATCGATTGCGTCAGATTAATTTGAAAATGGCAAATAAATATCATGTTAAAGTCCACGAATAGTCCGTAACATAGTATGCCTCAATGTACCTGTTAATTTAAAGGAATATTAATTTCTGTATTGATTATTTTTTCAAAGGGGTTTTCACGTTTTAAATTACGCATATAGCATTTTGTTTTATTTTAAGGAAATGCCCGTTTACATGTAAAAAGTGATTTTCTGCCAAGGCATTATCCGTTTTTCTATAGATTTTTTCCGCTTATGTTTTAATCTTCCAATGATTCGTATTTAAGTAACCTCAATTTACCTTAATGATAATCGATGATTTGACGCTTATATTTCTAAAACATATTTGGTGAACAATGCAAATTTTTTAAAGAACAACATTCATGCTCCACTTTTAAATCAAATGTGTGTGGTCTCCTTTTTTACATACAACCACACATACTGATTTTTTTACCCTATTATATGCGTCATGCAGTGACTGTGTTCACTGTACCAATTTCTGCATGCCAGCCACACCCCAGCAGTGCCTGTCATGGAGGCTGGCACAGATTGGCATAGCTTATCAAAATTCCACAGCATCTGTTCACTGTGGCAGGGTGGCACTGCAGAGAAAACGAGTACAAGGAGAACATAGAATAGAATTATATGTTATAAACAAATGCAATAATTTTCAGCATACTATGAATATACTTTTATGAAAACAAATTTAAATGCATTTGTTCTTTCAGAAGATGGATTTTGGATGTTTTTTTTTATCTTATACTTTCTATTAGAATGTGTGTGATCAGTGTTGGAATACAAATATAGGCTATAGAGAAGTACCATTTTTTCCTTTTTATAGTGCCATAGTATTTTTTTTCCTTGCATTATTCTGGGTTTACAGCACAGTGTTTATTAGTGTGTGTTTATGTCTTGAGTACATGTGAGTGCGTTGGGGTTGTTCCTTATCTGCACAGATGGCATGTGTTAGGGGGAGGGGGGTATAAGCTTCTGATGATGCCATGCTATGGTCACATGGGCATCGGTAATTGGGCGCCATATTGCCTGGTTTGCAGGGCTCTGGGGCAGCCAGTCACCCAGCTGGACCTGTCAGATGGCATTGAATCCAGCTCACTGCCCTCTACCCTCGCATCCTTTCTTCTCTGTTTCTCTCTCCATCTCTCACTTTTAAATTTTTAAACCCACTGCCACATTTTTCTTTACTGTCTTACATTCACTTGAGCCTTGTGGTATACCAGTCCTCATCTTACCTTAAAACACATCTGTTGTAACACAGTTCAAGACTGTGGATGCTTGTACAATAAAATGAATATAATAATAAATGTTTAAGACAAAGAAAAAAATATTCTTGCGTAGAAAAACTTCTCACAAAACTGTAATACAAATTCAACTTTTGCTAACAATATCACATTTAATTTATCATCAAAGGAAACAATCTCATCAAGAAAACAGCTATTGAACATTAAACATTAAATTGGATAGACAGACAGACAGACAGACAGACAGACAGACAGACAGACAGACAGACAGATAGACAGATAGATAGATAGATAGATGCACATTAAAAATGGCCACACCCGTTCTTATATCTTCATAGTAATGAATGTGTTAAGACAAAGAACAAAACAAGGTTGTTAAGCAGAAGCGCTTCCCGCTTACTGTACTGTAATAAAATACATTTTGATAATATCACATTTAATTTCGTTCATATATGAAGATGTTTCTCTGTGTGCTTAGTGTTTAGTGCAATACATTTAGCTTGTTTGTGTGTGTTGATGTAGCCTATGATGTGATTATAAACTGGGCCCCTTATAAGAGTGATTTAATTGAGAAACAGATGTTCATCAGATGAGAGTAACCATGTTGTTAGATAGCCATTGTGTCTGTGCTGGCATTGAACTGCTTTACTCTATGCGAAGTGTGACATCAAATAAAGAAAAACACACCACTTGGGATGCTGAGGATGGGTATTTATTTCATGAATACCAGAATGTGATATGTACCGAGTGAATGTTTGGAATTGTTCAGAATCCTTGAAATTTTAGCTTGCTGTCGAATGCCTCTTTTTAGGCAGTCACATGTATCTATGTAACTGCTTTAATCACTAGAACTGACAAACCCTCTATGGTCTAATAATCCTCAAAATTCAGTTCAGCACACATACACGCATGTGAGTCTTCGTGTTTTATGAGGACTCTCCATAAACATAATGATTTTTTATACTCTGCTAACTTTACATTCTACCCCTTAACCCAGCAGTGATTTGACAAGATGCCACCGGTGTGTGTGGCAGGCCGTCGGTGTCCTATTGCGTGTGCTTTGTTGTTTGTATTATTGCTTTTAAATCCAAACTTTTAAACTTTGCTGACTTATAATCACCAACATGCGTTCAAAGAGCTGTTTAGTTTGGACTGGAGTAACCCACTCATGTATCCCCCTCCCATGTTGTTGTCTGTACCACCAGCTTTTCTGCTCTGATAACCCAGCGCAGTACATAGACGAAAACCCGGCAGAAGACAAGAAAAGCGCGGTAGTACATTAGGCCTAGTCCATGTGCATGGGCATTTTTATAAACTGAGTTTTTCTTCATAAAAAAAAAATATATATATGAAGAGTTCAGATGCAAAAGCCTCTAAATGCCATTTGAAATTTTCTTCTAAAATGACCATTTTTATCAAGCTTGTATATTTAAGTTCAGTAATTTCACTTAAATGGCAATGAAGATTACCTATTAATTGTCATTTAAGTGAAATTACTGAACTTAAATATACAAGCTTGATAAAAATGGTAATTTTAGAAGAAAATTTCAAATGGCACTTAGAGGCTTTTGCATCTGAACTCTTCATATATAAAAATTTGGTCCACATGAGCACTGTTTAAAAAAAAACTCTGTCCACATGAAAATGCAGAAATGCACTATGAAGCGCTGTCAAGAGCATGCCAAACCAAAAGGTGGTGATATAACCCTAACCGTAAAGCCATGTTAGCCTGAAAAACATGTTGTCATATGCAGTGATCTGTGTAGTATTGCAATCTGACACCTCTGTTCTGCATAATAATGGGAGAACTGTGCATGTATCTGTATACATATTATAAGCCTTGCTAGCACAGTTATTAGCAGCAATACTTTTGCTACATCCATCATTGTACAGTCTTGCCTCATAAACAAAGGAGATATCTGGACACAATCTGACATCAAACAAAGGAGATAGTGCGCACTCCAACCCAACAAAGCCACAATCTCTGGTTTCACAGGCTGCACGACAACAATGCAACCGGCAAGACCCTGGCAGGAGTTTTCAAAAAGGTTCGGTTTTAGTGACCTGATACACTGTGTTTGGATGAACGGCCAAACCGCATAGAAAAAGCTGTGGCTTTAAAAATACCCATGTTCGTGTGCCTTAGTTGCTCTTAAAGGGTTAGTTCACCCAAAAATGAAAATTAAGTCATTAATTACTCACCCCCATGCTGTACCAACCCCGTAAGACCTTCGTTCGTCTTCGGAACACAAAAGAAGATATTTTTGATTAAATTTGAGAGCTGTATAACTACCACATTGGCTCCTAAAGGACTGCCTCTTGATGGCCCAGAAAGTCAATGAAGAAAATGTTTAAATATCCCAAGTGACTACCGTGGCTCAACTATATGTTTATCAAGCGACGCGAATACTTTTTGTGCGAAAAAACAAACAAAAATAACGAGTTTATTCGACTATTTCTTTTCTTCCTTGTTGGCCTGAAACGAGATTTCCTTAGATTTCCACGACGCATGCGCGAGAATTGCTATCTGCTTACACTACTTCAGATCGCAATTCTCGCACATGCGTCGTGGAAATCTAAAGGAAATCTCGTTTCTGGCCTACAAGGAAGAAAAGAAATAGTCGAATAAACTCGTTATTTTTGTTTGTTTTTTCGCACAAAAAGTATTCGCGTCGCTTGATAAACATATAGTTGAGCCACGGTAGTCACTTGGGATATTTAAACATTTTCTTCATTGACTTTCTGGGCCGTCAAGAGGCAGTCCCTTAGGAGCCAATGTGGTAGTTATACAGCTCTCAAATTTAATCAAAAATATCTTTATTTGTGTTCCGAAGCGAACGAAGGTCTTACGGGGTTGGTACAGCATGGGGGTGAGTAATTAATGACTTAATTTTCATTTTTGGGTGAACTAACCCTTTAATTCTACCTGTATAAAGATTCTGGATATTGCTTCTTTGAAACAAAACTGTTAAATCGAGATCAAAACCTTTGCCGAACAATATTATACGCTCTCTTAAGACAGATTTGTGGAACAGAGATGGAAAAAAAGACAAACTCCAGCTTACGAAATTGTATTATTCATTGTCAGCATTTTCAAAAAGCAGTAAAAGCCGCCAGGACAAAATATTTTTCGGAGGTCATTCCAAACTCTGTTATAAATCCTTCTTCAATGGTTCTGCCAAATTGGTCACAAAAACTTTACAATAATTCTTCTTTATTAACAATATTGCAAATAAGATCGCATATTTAATCTTGTTTGTTTGATCTGTCTGACTTAGTTATTTGCTCCAGTGTTTTGTCTCGGTTTGAAGTTTGAACCCATTTCCTTTGAATGCCTTCAAGAGATAGTCAGTCAGTTACAGCCTACCACTTCCCATCAGGCCAAAATTCCTAGATATCTCTTTAAACAAGTTCTAGATACTGTCGGACCTAGTCTATTTTCCATAGTTAATAAAAAAAAAAAAAACTTGTTATCTTGTTATTTTGACATTATACTATATAGGCCTAATATATAGTATATAATATACTATATACTATATATATATATTATGAGCATGCTGGTCAAGGCTGCTGAGGTGGAATGTAGGGGCCTCTGTCTAGATCCGGCATGCGCCAACCACCAATTCGAGCCTACATGGACGATCTGACTGTCACATCAACGTCAGTGACAGGGTGCAGGTGGCTCCTAGGCGCTCTGGAAAGGATCACGGCATGGGCAAGAATGAAGTTCAAACCAGCTATGTCCAGATCCTTGGTCCTGAGTAAGGGGAGGGTGGAGGACAAACACCGTTTTCGTGTGGATGGAGTCTCTAATCCAACAGTGTCAGAGAAGCCCGTGAAGAGCCTAGGGAAGATCTTCGACAGCACCCTGAAGGACAAGGCAGCGGTGGAAGCAGCCCACATGGAGCCGAAGACGTGGCTATGAGAGGTGGACAAGTCCAGTCTTCCGGGGAAGTTCAAGGCATGGATATATCAGCATGGTATCCTGCCAAGACTCCTGTGGCCACTACTGATTTACGAAGTCCCATTATCCCTTGTGGAGGGCTTTGAACGCAATATCAGCCAATACCTGCGGAGATGGCTGGGCCTGCTGAAGAGCCTGAGCAGCATTGCTCTTTATGGGCACAACAACAAGTTGCAGTTTCCTTTTACTGGCCTGACCGAGGAGTTCAAAGTCACCAGAGCCAGGGAGGTGTTGCTTTACAGAGACTCAGCTGACACCAGAGTCTCTTCAGCAGGCATCACAGTAAGAACTGGGAGGAAATGGCGAGCGCAAGAGGCAGTCGACCAAGCAGAAGCAACACTGAGACATAGGGTCTTAGTTGGCTCTGTGGCAGTGGAAAGAGCTGGTCTGTGTAGCGTGTGACACGTGGTTAGCGCGTCTTACTAGCGTAACAATTAATAAGGCCAAATGATCAGAAGAAAAGTGCGACTACTGGAGAGAGGAAGACAGCACAACAGGTGAGTGAACAATCAATACAAAGACTTCTTTATGATTCAGTTTGGTTTTTGTATTAAGAGGAAATATACTTTTACATAAAATGTGTGGATTACAAAGATAACAAATCAAATATGATAAATGACAATATTCACACTCTCGTTTTTTTTTTCAGATACGTGGACTCAGTTTTGGACACTACTCTATTGAACCAGACTCTCACATATTGATGAAAAACAATAAAAGAAATAAAATAAACCTCTGTGTCAAATTCCTTGTAATACAAAAAAGTAAAGAACAATGGATAATGCTTCTACACAAAGTATTGCAATCAGTAGTTCAAATACTTCAAAATCAAATCAAATGAACAATCAGTTTGATTCAGTTCACAGAATGAAGTTCAGAATTTTCACTTTCAGTTGCAAACAAATCACTTTCTCTTTAAAACTTAATAGTCTGTTCAATGTGAATCAGAGACTCAAGATTTGACAATCAGATTCGGTTAACCAGAGTTCGTAACTCGGTCGATGGGTTCAGAGAACTGTTGATTCTTTTAGAATGAATCAGAATCACAATCAATGTCTTTTGTTGGAAAATTAAAAGGAAAAAATAGAAAGCAAGATGATCTCAATGAGTCCAAGTCCCGTTTGTCCAATAGTAAAAGAAAGAATTCTCCTACCAGTTTGATGGCTCAAAATCACAGTTCAACAGAGAAAATGGTTCCGGTGGCTCGCCATTTACAATCTGCACCTCGTGCGTCCAGCACGAATCAGGGAATCATCACAGAAGAACTTGAATCTCACAAAAAACCCAGCCTTGTAAAACACAAGGCAGAACAATAATTAATCCACAGTTAAACAATATCATCGTCAAAACACATGTATGCACTTCAATCAACACATTAAACATAACACTTTAACACTTAATAGCCTACTTCATTAGCTCATTAGCATTCTCACACGTGCGTCAGCTTTAGCCCATGTGCTATCCACTTCGGCTCGCACAGTCTATATAACACTGTTTTGAGTCTCTATCAGATCCGCAGCACATTTTTATATAAATGTCAAGTTAATGCTTGGGTTTTAACTCACCAAGGCGATGAATTTATATATTTCCTACAAGGAAGTTCATTTGTGGCACATTGATGTTCCACCCATCTGCATCGATCTGTTTCACTAGCCTCCGTCTCATCCGCGTCTTACTCTGGCATCAGCTCCTTCATATTATAGCATCAGTTCAGAAATCCTGTTTTCTGTTGTATTTGATCACTTTTCTCTGAGTTAATCACTTACATGAAGGGGTCTTGAAGATCGCTCCGTGTAGCTGCCTCATCTCACTCGCCCGCTAGTACAGATGGGTGGGGCTTAGCGCACTCCCGCACTTCCTCTGCTGCTAGCTCTTAAAGAGCCCATCACCTCATTTGATATGTGATTTCTTTGTTTCTTTCTTACTTATTTTCTGCTTTCATATTATTTTTTTAGTAGCCTGGATTACCCGGGTTACATCTGGGTACCTACTCAAAACCGCGCTATGACAAAGCCCAAGGACGAGAGAGACGCCAGATGGTACAGGGAGAGATTCGTGCTGAGGTGGAGGAGGAACGTCTAAGCAGAACTGTGGCAATGCGCAAACAAGGAGCTTGGGCCAATTGGAATCATGCAGTTGCCTGGAAGATCACCTGGACAGAACTATGGAAGTATGAACCCACAAGACTTATGTTCTTGATCCAATCGGTGTATGATGTCCTTCCAAGTGCATCTAACCTTCATATCTGGGGCCTAGCAGAAACACCAACATGTCCTCTGTGCCCGGCTCGTGGTTCCCTGGAGCACGTCCTAAGTTGCTTCCCTAAAGCTCTAGGAGAGGGGAGGTACACGTGGCGCCATAACCAGGTGCTGAAGGTAGTGGCGGACACCATCTGCACCGCAATCCAGGAGTCTAAACATCAAGTCCCAGTGAGGCACAACATCTCCTTTGTTAGGGCAGGGGAGAAACCTCAGGGAGAACGTAAGGCCTCAACTGGACTGCTAGCCATGGGCCGTGACTAGCAGTTGCATGTGGACCTCGGGAGGCAGTTAAAGTTCCCAGAGCACATAGCAAGGATGTCAATGAGGCCAGATCTGGTCTTAACAACTGACTCAACAAAGCAAGTTGTGCTAGTGGAGCTTACTGTCCCCTGGGAGGACAGGAAGGGGGAGGCCTTCGAAAGGACGAAGGCAAAATATCTTGAGCTGGTTGAGTCATGCAGAGGGAGAGGGTGGAGGGCCCGCTGTGAGCCAATAGAAGTGGGCTGCAGGGCCTTTTTAAGTCAATCTGAGCATCGGGCATTCGGGCTCCTTGGCATCAGAGGGTTGCATGAAAGAAGAGCCACTAAAAACATCAGTGAGGCCGCAGAAAAAGCCTCAAGGTGGTTATGGATTAAAAGGGGAGAAGCATGGAGTAGCATGGTGTTTGGACACAAACCGGGGACTGATCAACCCCGGTCGCCCAGGTAGGGTCCAGGTGAGGGTGTCTGAAGATCAAAGATCCAAAACACCCTGTGACCCTGGGTCCTTCACTGAAGATGTGTCCAAGCTGCACCTTTAAGGTGTTTCAAAATCTGTAAATGCACACACAATTATCCGCAAACTTGATAAATGTTGCAGATAAGTTTTATGCACGTAAACAAATGCCTTAACATATGTGTGCAAAATTCTGAATTAATGAATGTGCAGCAATTTGTATAAAAAGTCTAGGCCTATACGTGTTATAGCCATCAAATAAGCACATTTAGTTTCATATTTGTTCAAATATTACATTATTTTTTTTCCATATATGTTGATTATGAAAAGTGAACAGCATTACAAAGATGGATGCGCAATATATTGGGAGACGGTGATTACGTTTACATGCAGCCAATAACCCATTCAAAACCAGGATATTAGCAATAACCCGGTCGCGAACGGCCATGTAAACTCCGGCAAAAACCTGAATATGCTCATATCCCGGATTTTAAATACCAGGATATTATACCTGGGGTACCCCTTTTCTAACCCGAATTTTTGGTCGCCATATCCCCATAGTGATTTGTGGTCTGCGCATGTTCTATTCGCAAGGAATCATAGCAATATAGCAAATATAGCAGACAGTAATCATGACATGGTGGCGCCGGCGCAGTCAATTGTTGCGCGTGAACTGGAGCGGACCTCATCATAAATAAATCAGCATATGCCTCACAGTCACAGACATGATACATATATCTATATATAGAAAACTTGAAATGCCTTTAAACGAAACGATTCAAAACGAAAAGAAATAGGCTACTCTCTAAAGTTGTGTATACCGTCTGTCGAATTAACGATGGTGTTGTTATTAAAATATGTCCATTGTTTATTCATACCTAGTTACACATGTGCACAAGTTTGATTAGTAATATATGTTTTATAGGTATTCCTGAAGGCTGGCCAGGGCGTGGCTAAACCGGGACAGGGAGCCTCCAGGGCGGAGCAGAACGTGGACGTGATCAGGGCGGAGCAGGCTGAGGGTGTGGCCAGGGCTGAGCAGGACGTGGCGGAGCAGGCTGAGGGCGTGGCCAGGGTGGAGCAGGTTGAGGGCCTGGTGGAGCAGACTGAGGGCATGGCCAGGGAGGAGCAGGATGTGGACGTGGCCAGGGCCGAGCAGGACGTGGCGGAACAGGCTTAGGGCGTGGCCAGGGCAGAGCAGGCTTAGGGCGTGGCAGGCAGAGGGCGTGGCCAGGATGGAGCAGACGAGCCCTCGGGCATCCAGGGCAGAGCAGATGAACCCTCGGGCGTCCAGGGCGGAGCTGTTGGACCCTCGGACGTCCAGGGCGGAGCAGGTTGTTCGGGCGACCATGGCGGTGAGGACCCTTCGGACGGTCACGGCGGGGAGGACCCTTCAGGCGGCCACGGCGGTGAAGACCCTTCAGGCGGCCTTGGCTGGGACATTGGGCCCCCCCTAAAAAAATATTTGAGGTGAATCCCCGGATTAGGGGCAGACGGGCACGAACAGTCTCTAGTGGGGTTGTCTCGGCGGGACGAGACTCGGGCTGGGCGTTCTCGGCGGGACGAGACTCGGGCAGGGCTGTCTCGGCGGGACGAGACTCTGGCAGGGCTGTCTCGGCGGGACGAGACTCTGGCAGGGCTGTCTTGGCGGGACGAGACTCTGGCTGGGCTGTCTCGGCGGGACGAGACTCTGGCTGGGCTGTCTCGGCGGGACGAGACTCTGGCTGGGCTGCCTCGGCCGGACGAGATTCTGGCTGGGCTGGCTGGGCTGAGACGGGACATGGACAGCCTCTGGCTGGACGGGCTTGACACTTACTGTCTCAGGCGTGGCGGGCATGACGCATACTGCCTTGGGCTCGGCCGATCTAGCGTGAAGTGCGGGCTCGGCTGGACTGGCGTTAAGTGCAGGCTTCCTGGGGATGAGGATCAGACGAGGTTGCCTATTTGGCTGGAGATTCCCCTGAAATGTAGCAGGGTTCATGTTGTCTTGGTCGGTCGATCGGTCACGGTGTGGTGCAGGCAGAAGAACAGGCAGAGTCCAAAAGCTCCAATACAAAGGTTTACTCTAAATCCAAACAGGCACAGGCACAGACTCAGGTAGCATTAACATCGACCGACAAGGACAGACTGAACAGAGGCCAACTAAATACAGACATGAATCAAACATAACGAGGTGAACACAGGTGACACAGATGAACAGGACGATGAACAGGTGGCTGATTGAGGGAGTGAGTTCAGGTTTGGAGACAAGAGGATCCTGGGAAGTGTAGTGCAGATGACGAAGACAGACTGGTGCAGACGAGGACTGTGACACTGGGTCTTTTTGCCTCCAAAATGTAAAGCTGTAATAATAAAAACGTTCTCTTTGTCCAAATTGCATTAGAAATTGCATTTGTCAACACTTTCTAAATTTACAAATAAAAAATTAATTGGAATGATATTTTTTATGTTAATGTGTTAAAAAAATTAAACAAAAAATTGTGCTCATTTTATGAATGATTTTACTCCATATTTGGATGATTTATTATATTATTTTTAAATTTACATAAATAAATTTAAAAAAATACACAGCTTTTCATGAAAAATTCACTTTATAAAAGAGCCACATTTCCAACTTTCATTTATGTGGATAACATGGATAATTTGACATGATTTAGTGTAAGATTTTGCCCATCTTTCGGAAAATTCCGTTTTAAAAGTAAAAAAAGTATCACTTTAACCATTAGATGGCTGCAAATGGAGCCGCAGAGCTATAATAATGTAATAATGTTACACTATGATTAGAATCAAACCTGAACAATTTGAAAGTTTGAGTAGTTTGAGTTGAATAGTTTCAGTAGTTGAGTAGTTTCATAGTTTGAGTAGATGATTAGAATCAAACCTTGAGTAGAAAGTTTAAGGTTTATATTTTATTTTAAACATCTGTTTTTCATATAATCCTACAAATTTAAAGTCTAACACTTTGTTCCAGAGTTTTATACTAACTTTACATTCTACCCCTTAACCCAGCAGTGATTTGACAAGATGCCACCGGTGTGTTTGGCAGGCCCTCCGTGTCCTAGTATGTGTGCGATCTTTTCCCTCCACAGACGGACGGCAGCAAACTAGGGAATAAACTTGGCTCCCTGGGCGGTTCAGCGCAAAAAAAGAGGCATGTTCCGGCTCAAACAATCCCTGGTGCTATTTAGCAGTTCCAGAAATTGACAAGTCCACTGACCAGCAAAAAACTAAAGTCAGTGGCGCTTTGCGCCTATTCAGATGCTATTTTAAAGCCACACTGTGGAATTTTTGGCCTCTAGGGGCGCTCGACCTGTAACTTTCACCTCTAGCGTCCCAAGAGGCCACAAGCTCCACAGTACTGTTGCAAAATAAAGTCAACAGTCAACTGGTCAGCCTCGTGTCTTTAGATTGTGTGTGCTTGCAGTGTTTGAGGCGGGCCGGGCAGCCTTGATTCCCTTATAGCAGAGAGAGCGAGCGGGGTGAGCCCCGTGGGGCTTATCATCATGTCTGTGAGTGAATGTGGGCATGGGACAGTGGGCACATTCACAGCACTCTAAACACCATCGGTCTGAGCTGACTGTATGTGTGTTGGTTTATTTTTACAGAAACCGTGGGACATGTGGTATTTAACGTTAGTGTTTGTGGGTACCACTGAGTCGTGGGCACGTTCACTACATTTAATGTAACGTTATATTTGACGTGAGTCAATTTTATTTGAGCGAGCCCTGCACTGAGGCGGGCTGTGTTTGTGTGTAGAAATTAACACTGGGCTGTGGGCATTTTATTACACTCATATTACACCATCGGCTGTGGCCAGAATACCAGAAAATACTACACTGCTTATATGAATTTATCTGAGTTACCTTGGAAACGGCATTTGTGTGCAGGCAAGCGTCCACATCGGTCAAGCACCCTTCCGCTTACGCCAGCGAGCGCAACGAAAGCTGGACCAATGTTAATCCTCGTCTTGGCTTTTAATTTGTCTCTCCCCTTTTCTTTTTTTAG